TCCTCTGACCCAGTCAACAGAGCTGGCCAGACCTCACATGGCAAAGAGCACAGTCATCCACATCGTCACATCCACTCAACACCACAGACACAACAGAGCGTGTCTCCCCAGATAGCCACGTCCACTCAATATCTCAGACAGCAAAGAGCATGTCCCTTGACACTCCTAAACAGTCACATGTACTCAAGACCGTACAGAGCACGGTCACCCACACAGCTGTGTTGGCAAAAACCTCAGACTGCAACTTTCACGCTGGAGTATCCATGATGGTACCAGCACTTATAACCTGCTGGCTACTAAGCTAGATATTTCCACCAATGGTTAATAGCTTGAAGCATGCAGATGATGCAGCCTAGCTTGCTGGGGATGAGGACCTGAAGCATTTGCTGATGAGGCTCAAAGACTCAAGTCTTCTGCGTGATTTCCACCACCTTCTGCAGGGGTATCCAGAGGCCATGGGAGCTGGCTGCACAGAGAAAGCAGCCCTTTGGCCCACCAGATGAACCCACATGTCTGCTATGTTCTGCCAGAGCAGGGCTGAGAGCCCAAGTCCACGGATAACTTCTCCCTTGGCCTGTAACTGGACAGAGTACACCAGTGCTGCTCAGGACCAAACCTTTCCAAACACTATGCTGATGAGATAAACACTCAAAGCCTGCTGCTCATGTTGGTGTTGGGTGGGATGGAGACCCTCCACACACAAGTCTCCCCCAGATGAGGCTCCTCAACCCCAGGTGATGATGCCATCCCTCCAGTCAGATCCTACAGGTGAGGCCTCTGTATGAGACCGATACTTTCCCCAGCTCCAGGAGAAGCCTCCCCTAGAACTAGATCCACCCAAGACAGAGCTAAAAGGAGGTGGGAAGGAGGAAATAGGGTGGGTTTCATGCAGGTTCATATGATGGGGGGGGTACATGAATGGAAAGGTTAAAGGGATGGGAGGTCCATAAAATGGGCTACATGGGTTAGAGATGTGTGCTTTAGGAGGGTGAGTAAGATGGAACATTTATGAGTCAGGTGTTCATGAGAGGGAGGGAGTTTATGGGATGAGGGTTAATGGGCTGGAGTTCATAGGGTTGGAGATTAATGAGATGAGAGTTTATGGACAGGGGTCCATTGGGTAGAAGTTTATGAGAGGAGGGTCAACGGGGTGGGAGAGTAATGATATGAATGTGAGAGCTGGAGGCTCATGGGTGTTCACGAGGTAAGAGAATGATGGGATGCAGGTTTATAGTGCCCATGGAGAATTCATGGGGTGGAGGGTTCACAGAGTGAGAGATTCATGGGATGGAGATTCGTAGTCTGTGACATTTATGAGTTTTGGTGTGGAGTGTTTAGGGAGTGAGAGCTTCATGGGTTGGGAGAGTAAAGGTATGAATTCATGAGGTAGAGACATAGGGCTTCACAAGATGGAGTGTTCACAGAGTGAGGGATGCATGAGTAGATATTAACGGTATGGGAATTTATGAGGAAGAGGTCATGAGGATTTCCAAAGTAGAATGTTCATGAAGTGAGAGATTTCTGAGTTGGAGATTGATGATCTACATGTTTGAGGTCGTGTTCTTGGGAGTTGATAAGGTGGAATTTTCATGGAGTGGGGGTCATGTGATGGAGATTAGTGGTCTGAGAGTTTATGAAGTGGGTGTTCATACGGGTTCATGAGATGGAGGTGTGGAGTTTATCTTTCACAATGACTTTTTCTAGCCATTTTGCTTTGCTATGTAGATGAGCATGAATATGTGAATGGGGCATGTTAGCTTATTCACAAGGGGATGGGCACTCTATCGTTACACAAAGGAACTGGCCAGCCTCAACAATTTACGGGCAGATCAGCTAGTCTCAGCATTGATAGACACATCTACCCTCCCCAGTGAAGAGAAGATCTCTCCTCACCACCAGAAAAGACACTTCAGCACCAGGAAAAGAACAGCCATGGCCAAAAAGGGAGACTTGATATGAGATGTGACCTTGTAAAGGGAAAGCCAATATTGGCAGGACTGAGAACTTTGTCGGACAACTGAGAGTGGGAAGCCAATATTGGCAGGTCTGAGAACTTGGGAGCAATGGGCTGAAAGCCACAATGCTCGAAGCTGAGGTGCCTATGTCCCATTTCAGAAGCTGTCTCGACTGCATCCTGTTATTAATCAGGATTATAACATTTTGACTTCCCTAAAATGGTTCTGTGTAAACTGTGAGCTATCACATCGGATTGGGGAACCTAGTAAAAAAAGTAAGATTGGTGTTGAGACGAGTAGGAAGAGGTATGGGAGCATGAGGGGCATGTCTGACCTCCTGGGAATTGGTATTGTGTTATTGATGCTCTGGAAGGGGACAGTTCCCTTTTGTGAAGTTGATGAAGGCCAAATATGATCTCCCTACTCTTACTCTATTTACAGGGAGGTTCAAAGAGTGCAGGATAGTTGAGTTTTGGATTATTGATCTCAGAGTTTATAAGGTGGCAGTTCATGAGGGGCTTGAGGTTGGAGTGTTTGTCGAGTGAGAGCTTCATGGGTTGAGAGAGTAATGGCGTGAGTTTATGAGGTGGAGTTTACGGTGGCTCATGAGATGAAGTGTTCTCAGAGTGGAAGATTCATGGCATGGGAATGGGTGATCTGGAAGTTTATGACGTGGGGCTCATGAAGTGTTCATGGAGTGAGTGATCCTTGAGTGTGAGAATGAGGAGGTTCTTGAGATGGAGATTAACGGTTGAGTGTGTATAAGGTGGGAGAGAGTGAGATGTGAGCTTATGAGTCCATAAGAAGAATCCATGTGATGTAGCGTTTAGAGTGGAGGGCTCTGGGGATGGGGATTACGGGTCTGGGGCTCATGGTGGCTTGGATCTGAAGTGGTAGGCACATGGCATCCTACCGATGGCTCCAGTCTGCATGTCATAGTCGTAGGCCCTCACAGCATAGTCCAGGCTGTCCACGTGGTAGAAAGTGCGGTGGTCCAGAGACTAGTCCAGCCCATTGGAGATGCCCAGTCCATCCAGTTGCTGCACTACCGAGCCATCTGCATAGAGCGTGTACAGGGCGCCCTGGCCAGGCTCCCACACTCCTGGCTCTGTGGGCTCTGGCATGGTGCCCGAAAGGGTGGAGGTGAATGAGCAAGACCCCTTTCCACCCCATCAGGTTCCAGGAGAGTCCTCATGCCCACACCTGTGCCCTGGCTATGCTCCCACAGCCCTGGTCCTGTCAGGTCAAGCGTGGTGCCTGTAATGGTGGAGGTGAGTGAACAAGACCCCTTCCCACCCCCATCACATTCCAGGAGTGTCCTAATGCCCACACATGCCCACACCTGTGCTCTGGCCATGCTCCCACAGCCCTGGTCCTGTCAGGTCAAGCGTGGTGCCTGTAATGGTGGAGGTGAGTGAGCAAGACCCATTCCCATCCCATCAGGTTCCAGGAGCGTCCTCATACCCACACCTGCTCCCAAGCACAGCAGGAAGGAAGGAAGGAAGGAAGGAAGGAAGGAAGGAAGGAAGGAAGGAAGGAAGGAAGGAAGGAAGAAAGATAGATGTGGTTTCTCTTCAGGGTACTGGACAGCATAACCTGGGCTGCTGCTATAGGGAAACCACTTAGGCAGGCTTTGAGGCAAGAGAGATTTATCCAAGAAGTCCAAATCAATTTGGTGGCTGGGGAATGCCCCCTCCAGAGCCTGCAGGGAATGGTTCTTCCTCAGCTCTTCCAGCTTCTGATCCCCACCCCGGCATTCCTGGGCTTGTGGATGACTCTTTCCCATCTCTGCCTCCACCTTGACACAGCTGTCTCCCTTCTGTGTCTCCACCTCTTTTACAAGGGCACTTCTGAGATATCCGTAGAACCTATCCTATTCTACTGTGACCTCGCTTTCACGGTTGATAACAGCAAAGACAGAAGTCTGAGATCAAGGTGTGAGCTCTGCTTTCCTCCTGGTGCCTGGTGTGTGTGTGTGTGTGTGTGTGTG